CTCGACTGGACTGTCGACGTCATTCCTTCGCCGTCAGAGTGTGCACTGTCTGGAATTCCTTACCATTTCATGTCGTTTGTGCCAAGATGATTGATTCTTTCAAGGTTAAACTTGACATTAACACATTAACACACATTGCATTCCAACACCCATGAGCACATATAACAACCGAATACATCATGTGGAATTTTGTTCATCCTCATTACAATTCAACTCGTCTAAACACCCTATGGGACAAGGAGAGCATCTACTTGTAAGTATTACCCATAATAAAACTTTAACTTTGACTCTCCGAGCTGGAAGTGTGTTGTTCACAGACGTTTCGTAGCCCGAGTAGGCAATATCATCAAGTACCCTGATGAACACCAACAATACTGCCAGCTCTCGGAGCGCACACCACCACCACTAACAAGACACACAGTTTTAAAGGTGAATTCGTCGTGTATATAGCAAATGAAGCATGAACTGAAAAGCTAGGGAGCACTGGACAACTGTTTCGATCCGGTTGGGTCTCATCAGCAGCAGTGCGCGAATTCATCTACCCAACTGGGGATCGAACCCAGGAAATCACGGGCAGGACGCAAGCATGCCGGCGGTTAGTAAAACCGTTTTTCATTTTTCATTTACACGATATAACACAACCCATTTTTGTGAGCATGTTGCGCGCCTCGCGCCTCGCTCATCTCAGCATTAGCCTCCGGGTTACGACTCGGTTGGAAACATTCACAATCTGACTACTTATTTTACGTGAGTAATGGAGGATTTAGTTCAATTTCAAAGATGAATTCATCGTGTATATGGCAAACGAAGCGTGAACTGAAAAGCTAGGATGCATGCCAAAGGCGATGAAGTGCCACGCTATTGTCTGGGTTCAGACTATGTTGGTGTGTCCAATGAATGTTATCATCTTTCTCGTCATTTGATCGGTCAGTGAAGTGTTTGGGAATCCAACACTATTCGGTTGACCAGGCAATATAGTGGACGGTTTTCCCAAGGATGAAGCCTAACCCAAAAATTAGAGGGTCAATGTGTGTGTGTGTCTGTGTGTGCGTTCATAGTTGCTTGCTACCTTGTCCTACAGTATGCACTTGAGTCTCCAGAACTTATGTGTCCCGTTCCCGCCACGGATGACCCAGGCTGTCTTAACAACTATTCATGCGAGACCGGTTCACTGAAGCAAGGGAGATATAGTCGCATTGAAGGAAAAACTTATCCGCACACTCTCTTCCTTTTCTTTTGACGTGGCAGCTCATTTTACACGTTGTAGATGTGAAACGCATAAAAATCGTTCGACACTGACGTTCGTTCACTGACGTCAAAATGGGGCGATCTGAACTAACTTTTCTATCTGGATTGAACCCATGTAAACACATATTGCAAGCCCCAATTCCAGTATGCGGCGTAATACCAATGAACGAGTCCTTTAAATTATTTGTTTGGCAAGGTACTTAGGGGCGGCCAACCAGAAGGACCAAAAAAACATCTCCTAAATCTCACAAGATAGAAATCGTAAGTCTGGTCACGGTGACACGGACTCATAAAGGGACACGAAGTGCCCACCTCTGAAGTGCTCTCATTCTCATATTTCTATGAAGTTCATTGTGGTGCAATTTCTTGCCAGTCCTAGTGATCAATTCTCATGTATATAAACTCGGAGTCAAAAAAAGCTATTGCTTCCTCATCGATTTCCCTCGTTATCGCGATAGCAATGTCAACAGACAATGGGACACTCCCAAATGACCTTGAATTCAAAGTTGACTTTGTTGCCGATAGGCAGATTGTAAGTTATTTTTCAATCGTCATGACTTATGATGGAATTTTATTGATGCTGGAGGCCACAAATTATGAGAGAATTTCTTTTTTTATGGATCCTATACTGGGTCAAACAATGAGTTTTACCGAACTATTGAAATAGCGGGGGTTTGTGGAGATAAACATGGGTTATTCGCACACTCTGACAACCATCCAAAATTCGTGTTCAAATAATTGGCGTTCAAGGTCAAACATGCTGAACGTCCCACAAACCATCCTGAAATTGGCTTTGATGAGAGTAAACTGATGGTATTTGCTCAAGGCCCGATATTGTCATTCCGTGATACAAAACCTATTGTTCGCATAGTCCACATCCCTAAGATGATAACAAAGCACACCTTGGATCAAGCATCGTTGGGGCCGGCCAGATTTGTTAAAAAGTTTAAAAAAAATAACACCAAGCATACCTCAAATATGAAGGTGTATCTTCCGATCGTCTCCTGAGAGATTACTGGTACATTTCGAACTTGGGAGAAGTGGCAAAAACAACATTTAGTGAAAATTTATTTCAACAAGAAGGAATCCATTGTTGATTGTTTCTTGCGCTGCTGTCTACTGCGGTTTTCTACTCAGTTGGGTCAAAATTCCTCTGTGATTTCAGCGCAACTTTTCACCGTAGTTGCGCAACTGATCCTAATATGCGATGCATGCTAATGTCAATTGATCCGAAAGCGACATTTTAACTGCATGCTTAGTGTGATTGAACTGTCTGAGTGAACCATACACACACACACACATCGAATCTGAGATTTTTGTTCTTAGAAAATAGTGTAGTTTAGATGCATTTAAGGAAAGTTCAATAAGTGACGTCTCACTCGGGTTTTATTACACAGTGCATTTTGTGTCTCTGAAATAAAAGAATCAGGACTGTTGCTAGCTGAAAAATAGAGTTTATCCGCTGTCACCATCGTCTATCATATTGATTACGCGTATCAGCAAGAGCTCTTCGCGGTAATTCAACTTCCCTTATTGGAGTTTTGCTGTTGTTGTTCTATTGGCTATAAAAACACCAACTTAACATTCTTTAGTTGTGTGTATCTGTGGTCTGAACACTTATTTATAACAGAAAAGTCGATCATCTCTTCTTGGGGCCAATTGGATATCATTCTGTTTTGATTCCACGTGCGAAATATGTCTCTGGTCCTCCGTTGGCTCCAG